CGAAAAGGACTGAAATGGACAATGCGGTGAGAGTAGAATCTCGACAGACAATGTGCATTCTCATACATACAAAAGTGCTGAATAGCGCAGGGAAGACTTAGATACAAAGACTGACCTGACAAGGACTGACCTTACACACGTAGTAGCAAGTAGCGAAACAGACTGCTAGAATGTTGATAGCTAGTCCAACCGATGGTTGAACTCAGACCAAACATGCATCGTACCCCTCACCATGTGTGAAGGAGCCTGGCACTGCACACAGGAAGAAAGCGTCAGGTCCAGACATGCATAGACGAAGAGGCAAGGATCAGACGAAAGGAGGGAGGAATATGGGAGTGTCGTTAACACCAAGTCTTTGTCACCGATCCCAAATAACCCCTCGTTGCCAGGTCTGAATCCCAAAAAGTCGAGTCTTGGATCCGATATCACCAAGCTCGGTATCTCTTCACTCGCAGTCTGCAAATGCAGTGAAGTCAAGGGTTGAGAGGGAGAGAAGGAGATGGTGGACTGAGAAGAAGAGGAAGAAGAACTCTCTCTCTCTCACTGTTACGAACCAGATACTAACCTGTGATGTGGCGCTGTGCTGCAGGTACCTTGAAGACGAAGCTGGAGCAACGGCGCTGCAGGTAGGTACCCCTGGCCTCCGCCCAAGCTCTCTCTCTCTCTCTACCACTATCCTAGCTATGGCGCCCAGCGCCGAAGGCTACTAGCTAACGCTACCACTACTATAACGCAGCGCTCCCTCCAAGGCCTACAGGCCCCAGCCTATTTCCCTACAGGGAAACTTCCAGGCTTTTGCATGGAAGCTTCCTTCTGACAGGGCCTACAGGCCCCAGCCTGTTTCCCTACAGGGGAACTTCCAGGCTCTTGCCTGGAAGCTTCCTTCTGACACGGCCTACAGGCCCCAGCCTGTTTCCCTACAGGGAAACTTCCAGGCTCTTGCCTAGAAGCTTCCGCAGGGTCTAGGCCAGGGAGGCATTGGCAAGAGCGGCCTCCTGCGCATAGGGCATTGACACGACCAGCCTCCTGCACGGGCCAGCACTATAAAGGACTGGCCCGCCCTACAGGAGGCCAGGCAAGAGCCTGGAAGTTTCCCTGTAGGGAAACAGGCTGGAGCCTGTAGGTCCTTTCTCGGCTGTCAGGCTGAACCGTCGGCGGGGCCTGTAAGCCTTGGATATCAGGCTTAAAGCCCGAAATTCAGGTTTTTGGCCTGAACGACGTCGCGCATGCAAAATGGCCCGTGTGTGCATGTGCAGCATGTAACATACACACAAAGCAGGGCCAATACAATTGGAAAAGCAGTACTGCCTATGCACCTGCTTGGGAGCCCTGCACAAATGCAGCAAACAGCCCAAGTCCGGAGACTCAGGCCGTGCCCAACTAAAAGGCCCAGACCCTCAACTGTAGTCTCGGGCCTGGGCACAGGGTTTGAGGCCCAACCGGAAGCTACTGGAAGCTTCCAACCAGGCCCCACGCAGCATCCAGGAGGCTGCCACTTCCATAAAAGAAGTGAGGCAGCCCAGGCCAGGCATTCTGGTCAGTGCTGGCAATGCGGAAGTGCTGCTGCACTCTCGCTTGATGCTGCACTGCTTCCAAAGGCGCTGACGGGGTGCGTGGTGGTGAGGAGGTCCACTGCAGGGCAGCGGGGTGCAGGGAGCCATAGCCAGGCTGCTGGGCGCCAGGGGGTGCAGCGAGCGATCTAGAGGTCTTCGAGGAAGGAGGCGAGTGTGGGGTAATCAAGGTCTGATTGAGGGTGACGAGATACGTACCTGGTGCATGAAGAGAGGTCGGCTATGGGGTTGACAGTCATGTACATTGGTCTTGGAGAGTTGAAATGAGCCTCTTGCTTGAACCAATTGTAAGTAGGGTAGTCGGACAAAGTAGGTTGGGCGCCAGACAAAGAGGAGCGACTTTGGATACTTTGTTGGTGTGGCCTACGGGCTTGAACATTGGCTTATTACTTCATTGTATTGCTCTATATGGATGGTTTCTCGGTGCATTTTGTACTCCCTGCTTACATACGACTACCTGGACATCTGTGTGATTTCGCAACTTGGTTTTCTGTATATCATTCAC